GTCAGCTTTGGGAAGGTTCTGTTTGAGGGTCCTGCAGAATACCCAAGTGCAAATGCACTGAAAGCCTGGCAGCATGTTGAACATTTAGGTGAATTTGATGCTGAAGGGAGCTCAGGTCTGAGCCCTTGGGGACAGTTTAATGAAAAGAGGCAGACAGAAAGCCAGAAAACACTTGCTACATGAAATCTAGAGTACAAGGAGATAAAGGTTCCACCAGCTCTTCAAAGTAAGCAGAGCCAATAAGCAAGGCAAAGAATTGACTATTTACTTTGGATTTGGAGACTTGAAGGTTGGCAAGGAGTCAGCTTGGCCACTGTCAATCCTTCCTTCCATGGGCCGAGCAGGGATACCTGCCCATCACTGTGGGGCAATGGAGCTTGGGTACCTTTAGAAGTGTACATCAGCTTATGTGAGAGCACACGAAAGTATGCAAACACTAGGCAAGATGGACCAAAAGTATGCAAGTGGCAGTGAGGAGGGCAGTAGGATGGACAGGAGGGAGTGAGTGTGGTTCTACCTAGTGGAAAGGCATCTGGACAGATAGTGTTATAGACTACGCAGAAGAGATGCAGTCTATCAGAAAGGCCTTTGCCTCATGTTATACATAGGAAAATCTTAATGGTTTCTGCTTATGTTAAAGAGAGTTAAGAGTATGGTCAGGAACATTTAAATTGCATGAAGTTATTTTTCCTTTTTGAATCATTTGAGATTATATGACAATTATCAAACTTATATAATGTGTCTATGTATACATCACCCCTGTATGTTTTTCTTCATTCAGGAAAGCTCAATGGAGTGTAAAATGGACAAGATTCTACTGGACAACAGATTGTCCATTTTCTCAATTCATTTCTGTAGTCTTTGTTAACTTTGCAGTTACTTAGATTCTATTACAGTCTTTGAAAATATGACCGTGTCTGTTTTTAATTAAAATTGGTTCATCAGGTGCACAGCATGGATGTAAAAGTAATAGGGTCATTTTTCATTCTGGACTTGCTTAAACTTGTGGTTGGTTTTAGTCCTTAATTGTCTACCAGGGATTGCTGCAGCTACCTTATTATCTGTGTTTTCCTTTTTCATCCAAAATTGCTATCAGACACACTAGGTAGACAGGAGAATTTTCTTCTTGTGTAATCTATATCCTTGCATTTTGATGTCAAAGACCTGAAGGGATTAATAATGGCTATTATATTGTATGGAATGTGTTAAAGTATTCCTGAAACATTATAGTTCAATGTTTTTATTTTATGTAATAAAAATGTGCATTTAACGCAATGAAAAAACATAGTTTGTGGATAATGGCTTGAAGGAGTCAAGGTCTTTTAAGTCTATGGTCATTTGTCTCAGTGTCTCACTGAAATGTTCATTTGCCATCCACCCCGAAATTATGGGGAAACCAAAAGCCTTTCACCGAGGATATCTCTCTGTGTCCCAAATGTACTAATGTTTGCAGTCTTAGTGACCAGCAGATAGTCAGAATCAATCTTCTTCTAATATTTTCAGTTTTGTTCACATCCTCACAAGGGAGAGCTGGGCCATCAGCTTTGCCCCCGAAGCTCCCACATCCCGCCCATTGCCCTGGAGCTCAGAGCAGACTGAGATGACCTGTGCTCTTGCAGAGTGAATGCTGTTTTGGCAGCATTTCTTGCTGAAGGCAACCATTTTCCAGACTGCTCACCTGTCCCTTACCCTCTACTAATTACAGCTTTCCTTGTGTTTCACCCACTTGTTCCTTGTCCTTCCTTCTGGCCATTCTCCAGTCTGCAAGAAGGGGCTTCAACTTAGGATGTTACTGGCTCAGGTCTCCACTTGCTTTCTCTGTGTTCCCTCTGAGATTCTTCCACCTTTTGAGCTTCCTCTCCCATATGTGCCCTCCCTCTCTTTTTGCTAACTCCTACTTGTAGCCAGTAGCCATTTGCACCAACTTCCCTGAACAAGGGAAGCACATACACCTAGCATCTTTGATTTGACACTGCCTCATTCCCACCTGGATACCTTTGACTCTCTGTAACGTTCATGACAGCCCAGCTTCTTCCGGTCATTGCTGACATTATTGCTCAGAGGTGTAAATTTCACCCCCTACCAAAACACATCAGCTAATTCACGTCCCTGGTTAGTTGTTTCCACTTGGTCTTCTGGGTAAAGAACCTAGTAGTTTATATTTTTATTACCCCAGTTCCACTGAAGACATGGTATCTAACAATTGCTTCTTCTTTCTTGATGTCCCTTTTTCTCTACAAGATTAACTTCTGCCCTCTGGAGACAGTTCAACCTTATAATATGCATTGTATGAAGATCAACTAAATTTTATAAGAAATATAGTTTCCTCAGTTTTAGAAAGTTATTCTGCTATCTGAAAAGTCTAGATAATTCTACTTGTACAATGTATTTGATATAAATTAAATACTAGTGATTAATGTATAGTGGGAAAAGTATTGTTTGAAGAACTCAAGAAGAAAAGAAACTCAAGAAATTTTGGGGCTTTAATGGATTTATCTGTGATAATGTGCTATTTTTAATAGTATGTAGAAAGTATTTTAAGATTAAATTTGATGAGAGACCACTAAGAGGCTTTTTTGATGTGTTCCTTCAGAGGTAACCATTCAGAAAGAAACCATTGTATTTTGAGTTGGCTCAAATTAATATACTCTTATAACTTTATAATTGTGCCCTGTGTTAAATGAAATTTTTTAGCAGCACAAAAATTAGTTTGTTCTGAGGTGGGGACCTAATAAGGAAAGAAAGCAATATTATGGCCTTGAAGTGGTCCTAGGTCTCCTACTCCCATAAACCTTTGATTGCAAACTAAATACCTGAAGACACCTGGAGCTTTGTGCTCAGCAGAGCTCCTGTACATATCTGCATAGAGTTCTGGCTTCTGACTCTGCTAGAAACCAACTTTCCCATTTAAGAGGCCCCAGGATCATGATTAAGTAGGTGTGTCCTAGAGGCCTACCTTATCACATAAAGAACATGCTTTAAAACATATTACTGTACCTGAATAAAAATGTTGACTTGGGATATTTTCCTAAGCTTAAGCAAAAACTTAAACATATTTTTCCTCTTGAGATTTGTTTGTCTGGTAGAATTAAAGAAATTCTTTAAACCAGGTTGTCTCTGTAAATGAATATGTCATGTCTGGTCTCTGTGACATGAAAGGCTACATGTTCATTGCACCCTTGGGGAGTGTTTGCTTTTAGATAATTGTTTCAGAGCACTATTAATACAGTGTCTAATGTGCACTCCAATAGCAGATTAGCAAAGGAAAATGTTGCCTCATTTCGGGATGGTAGTCAAGAGACACAAACATATGCGGAAACCAGCACCTTCCAGAAGAGAACAGAACAAGTGTTGTAATGAACATAGATCTTTACCTTTGGGCACTCCATTTGAGCATCCTGTTCTTTGTGTCCCATGGCAAACAACTCTACCAGGACAAATGATTAGAATAGAAACTGAGGCAGTTTTAAGTAAGGGAAATGCCCCTGAACATGGCCATATGAGTTGAAGGAATACTCCCAAAAGTATTTGGTTACAATATATATAACCCTTTACAGGCCATTTACAAAGCATGTGTCTATTGGTGAAATTATTAAAGCCACTCCATGTAGTTAAAAGGAGATTTATTTAATGGCGTAACTTACAAACGAAGAAATAGGTAGGTTGAGGGTTCTGGGAAAGATGCAGCAGTAGTCCGGCAATGTTCTCTGGAGAACTCTTAGCTCCCAGCATCAAGAGAGCACAGCATGTCCCGACTCGGGTCTTCAGGCCATCCCTTGGCCACACCTTGTGGGCGTGATAGTTACCAAAACCTCAATGGGGGTTGGAACTTCCAGACCAAAGCTGGAATGGCTACCCACTATACATGTCTGTCTCATGTTTGTATATAACTACATTTTCTTGAGCATATATTAACCATATACAGGATTAATGGGTAGGAAGATAAGATATACTGAGGCTGAGGAGAGAGAAAGCTCTTCAGGGGGCTTTGAATTTGTCCTATAGCACAGTGTGTCTGTCGGGTACTTAAGGAATACTCATCCAGTGAGAAATGTATTAGAGACTGAATGTAATAATACAGCCTTTGGGTCCAATGTCAATAAAACTCTGTTTAAATCATTCAGAGAATTTCCTATAAACCCCATTTTATTTTCTCTCACCCATCTCCATTGTTTCATCTCAATTTCCTGAATTTATTTATTTATTATTATTGTTTTAAAATAGAGTCTTTTTTTCTAAGGAGACTAGGCAAGATAGAAAGGGACTAAAAGAAAGCTGAGGAAGAAGGGTAACATGAGACCAGAGGAGAGCCAACTAAACTACACTTTGTTTGAAAATGCCATCCTGATACTTTTTGTGCTTATTAAACTAAAAAAGACTCAAATTCAGAACTCTTTGGCCATTCCAAAGTCCCAAAGCTTTACGATTCTGGAAGAAACAGAAATTGAGAGGCAGGTTCCCTAACCAGACGTGTTGTGTTGCCTTGGATGATTTGCAGTAGCATGCACAGGTCACATGACCTTAGGTCATGGTTGGAATTTACAGACAGAAGGGGACCAACTTCAGGTACTTAGAAAGGTTCTGAGCAAAAGATTAGGAGAGCTTTAGTGAGAAAGTTAAATCTATATCACAAACTCAACACAAAGATTCACAAAGTGGCCCTAATTAATTGCTGGGTTAATTAGTGTTGAGGGGCTCTCTCTGTCCTGTATAGCAACCTTTGAAAAATAGGAGCCAAAAAATCAGTGAAATCTACTTACTGGAATTCAATGAACACAATTAAATTAGGCTTCTGTTCTTTGGAATTCAGCTTAGGTAGGTAGTATAAAAGTGAATAACAAGTTCTACAAGAAAAATTGAAAACCCAAAGATTTATGGATCATTTTCCAATTATCAGGAGGACATTTCTAATGTACAAACTGATTCACTCTAAATAATTATTAATAAGCTTATTTATTATGTACTTACTTGGCATAAAACATTGTAAGAAGGCTCAAAGGTTTACTCAGTAGTTTTCTTTATTTTCTTCCAAATGCCTTCTGTGAACACAGAAAATTAATATACTCAAATTTTCTAAATAAAGCCAACTCCCATCTAACCCCCCAAATAGAACCCTTCTCTTTGTCTTTTTGTTCACATTTTAGGAAATAAAGAATTGAGGAAAGCAACATGTTTGCTTTTCAAAGACATTTTGCTGTCTCAACACAGACAGAGCCCATGCTTCAGAATGCATCTTTGCTCTTAGTCTGTTCTCATCATAGCACATCAGCATCTCATTTTGTTCATTCAGTGTTGTGAGCGATGCTTGGGTTTGCACTTTCCTCTTAAGAAGTCTTGACTTTGTGATGTTATGTCCTCTCACTTATTTCTTCCACGTTTCTTCATCCTCATCTCCATTCATCTCATTGAGTTCTTGTGAATTCTGGGTGAAGTAAAAATACTGATGAGTTAGAAGTGCAACCTCAAGGATTTCTTTGAAGAAACATTTGGTACAACCTGGTTTTATTTTGAGATAGGGTCTCACTATGTAGCTCTGGCCAGACTAGAACTCACTGTGTGGACCAGGCTGGCCTTAAAGTCACAGAGATCTGCCTGTCTCTGCATTCTGAGTGCTGAGATTAAAGGTATGCACAACCATGATCAATATTGGAGAAATTGCTTCAGATTAAAAAAGAAAGAAAGAAATTTAACAAAAACAGTAAACTTTCAGAAAATGTTTCAGTGGCTGGAGAAGGGGTGTGAGTTGTTGCTTACCTCCTCCTGGCCTTCAAGTCTGGTGTGAGCTATCTAAGAGCAGGTTGGCATTATGCATGCCTGCTTGCTTGGTGTGTGTCTTAGCTGAAGGCCTTACAGGATGGTAAGCCTCAGCTTTAAGAGGTTCTTCAACCTTTTCAAAAGACCAGCCTTGTCTTCCCAGTGCTCTCTCTGCCCTGCTCTGCTCTGGCATCACTTGCTCCTTACCTTCTGGACTCCCCACCTTCCTGATACTGGCAGGACTCTACCTCAAGAGAATGGTGCCTATAAATAAGTGACTCCTGTGCATGACAGCCACTGACCATGCCACCACAACCACCTTGGTTTGTATTGATGACCCAGCTGCCATGAGACAGGGAGAACAGAGCAGTGGCCCTGGGGTTCACATTCTACTCCAGGAGTCCTTATTCCTTTCTCCAGATGTTGGGTCCAGCTTTGACCCGTCAAACAGTTCTTAAAGGGGGAAGTGAGGAATTGAGAAATGCTAAATAGGAAAAAATACAGAGGTAGACAAAGAAAAAGATAGGGACACAGGATAGCTTTGGGGGGACCCTGGGTCAATACTCAGTCACCTCAAGCTTAATCCTAATGAGATTTTTATACACAAGCAAGGGGAGATACAAGAGACTTCCTCCTTTCAAGGTCAAAGTACAAACTAAGGTAGACCCTTTCTTAATTCTCCAAACACCTGGTAACCATGCCTTAAAGCACAGCATCTTGTAATTAGGCCTTGAAGCATAAAATACCTGGAAACCATGTCTTTGACTAAAATATTCTATTATGCAACCTTGGAGAGCAACATAAACTCTGACTCTCTGACCTTTAGTCAAAATAGAAACAAACCACAAGTTGGAATCTTTGTGGGCTCCCACATCCAGGATGCTTCTTCCTGATGCCCACACTCTTTTGACTGCTTCATGTTCATGTCCCTTAGTGGGCTCCTCCTGGACCTGCCCTGCAGGTTTTCACAAACACAGAGATCAATATTGTAGTTGTGTGTCAAGCCAACCCACTGAGCAGCTTGAAAATGAAAGACAATCCCATGAGAAGCTGATTAGGCAAGTAGCCAGGGCCACTTCCTGTCTTCTTACCATGTTAGTTATCACACAGGTAAACAATATTCTAGGCCTATTTTATAAGAGCCTAGTCACTCCTAGAGGCCCATATTCTAAACTTTAATTTGAGGGATTAAGGTTCCAAGAAATTGGTGTTAATACAAATACTTGGTTCACAAGGTTAACAGTCCTTATGAGGACGTAGGACAACTTATATCGCTGCCCAGCCTATGGAATGTTCAGCATTTCAGCTTTCCTTCACCAACCAGTATCTCTTTTTTGTCACTGTAACCCCTAGTAAGTTTCTGTAAGCAATAATTATGGGAATTGAGTGTTCTGAATCATGTACATGGAGGGGGCATGGCCACGAGGGCCCATATGATTAAAGAGTAGAAAACACCTGTGTTTTTTTATGGTCAGCAGGTGATGAGCTGGTGTAGTGAAACATTAGTTCTCAGACAGGAGAGCACACTGCCAGAACTACTAGAACACATAGCTGCAGAGGACCAGAGTCCTGGTCCTTTTTGACACTGATTGCTGTGTCTCCTTTATGTAGATCTTCACAAAAGCCTCTCTCCATCTCTCTTCCCCAGTGATTAGGGGTTTTTGTCTGGACATGGTAGTGTGAAATCCAACTTTCTGTTTGGGTTCTGTTTGTCTAGAGTCATTGCTGGCTCCTTACATCTTCGTCAAAATGCATCTGGGAGACTCATTTTATTCTCTATATTTGAGGTGATGCAATGTGTCCTGTGACCATATGCGCAGAAGAATAATGTATGAGTGGACAGGGAAGAAGAATGTGGGGACAAATCAATTGTTCTATGCTGTGTGAATGTACTAAGGCTGCTATGAAAAAGAACTACAAGCTAGATGCCTTAAAAGAACATGAAATGCCTCAGAATTCTGGGAGTCCATAGTCTGAAATCCTGGAGCTATGAGGGTAATGATTTCAGAAAACGTTTTGAGTACCCTCCCCTTTGGTGCTGGCAGACGCAGAGATTAGGTTACTCTCTGACTTCAGGACTTCTGAAGAGTAGAGTAGTCTCCCCTATCTGTAAATTGCTTTCTATGGTTTTAGTAACCTGAGGTCAACTGTGACCAGAGGTTATTTCTCTACTCTGTATGTACTACCTGTTAGTCATTAGCAACTGTCCTAGTTATCATTTCGATGGTCATGATGTTATACTTCTTTCAGTGAAGCAACATACCTTTATTTTACTTAGTAATGGGCCCAAGAAAAAAGGGTGATATTGGCAATTGCATTACTGTTCTATGGCAATTGCATTGCTGTTTTATTTCTATGTCATTATCACTCCTGATTATGTTTTCTTTATCTAATTTATAATATGTAATACCTTTAACAGAGCTGTGTGTGTGTAAATAAAGTTCAGTGATATCTGTGGTGTCAGTCACCCACTGGGACTCTTTTGGATAAAGATTGCTACTTACCAATCACTAGTTCCCATTTGCCAGCAAAATATGGCAATATGTTAGGGAGGGGTACCACAGTGAAGAGGAGGATGTTTCAAAAACTCAGTGAGTTTAGGTGAAGGGATGATGTTACTGGTCTTATGTGGCCTTACACATGTTAGAGGTTGGATGCAGCTAAGTGTTTATCAGGCAATTCACATGTGCAAGGCCTTGGATTCAGTCCCCAGCAAGCCCTCTCCAAAGCACATTCTTATTTCAGGTATTTACAGGCCTCCCTTTCATCATTTGCCTCCTGTAGACACAGATCTGTTTTGTCACCATAAGGAGTGCAAAGCTGTAGGAGCTTCTTAAGTTCTACATGCCCTGCATCTGAATACATGAAAATGACACTTGTCATGATCAAATAGGAACCATTTGTAGGGTTGGGCACTGGAGAGATTGTTATTTTCTTTATTTTTTACTGAAAGTAGATTCTTCTGTCATAACATAAATCCCAAATACAGTTTCCCCTCCCTCCACTCCTCCTAGCTCCCCCCCACCCCCTGGCAGATCCACCCCCTTTCCATTTCCCTTCAGAAAAGAGCAAGCCTCCAAGAGATGACAGCCAATCAGGACAAAACAAGATACAATAAGACAAGGCTATTTTAAGCATTGAATCTGTCACTGAATTCACACACTTACAGTGTATGTACTGTAGTGAATTGGACTACCATTTGGTCCTCTATTTCTGCTTTATGCTAACACTTGGAAATTGATTTTTTTCCATCAAGTCCATGCCATCTAAACTCAGCTTTATTTATTCTTAAGCAAATGTTATTTCTTGGTGATGCATACACACCTTCCCTTTAGCATGACACCCATTTTTTTCTTATAAATTGACTTTCATCTCTTAGGACCATTGGAGTCTACAACCACATATTAAAATTTTTTGCCCATTATTATTTGTGTTAGCCTCATGTGGCCATCTTGCACACTGATACTGGTAAACTGAACTCATAGGCACCCCAGTTTTCTATTTCAGTGCCATTTGCATCTTAGTCTACAAAAAAAAATGTGAATAATGCATGCTTTGTTTGTAGCACTTGCACCCTGGTGGACAGAATTCCAACAAATATTTTAAATTTTCATCCTTGGTGTCCACATCCTTTCAAGTTCCTTCCATTTGGCATAGGTAAAACCTGAATAAGGGGCAATACAAGGAAGGGTGATTAATTTGACAAAGAGGAAGACTGACAGATTCAAGTGTTTGAGAAAGCAGAGTGAAAGAATGAGAGGCACTAAACTGGGAACATGAGCTCTTGGGCTTAAATGTGGGCTTCTTGGAGCAGTCACCAGCAAGAGAGAAAATGGGGACTAAGATCTTGTCTGAGGAAATCGTTTATATCACCGCCTAAATACATTCCGAAAGGGACCTTGAATGAGATAAATTCTACCAGGAACTGGTATTTGTTTCCATCCTGGAGCGCCCTGGGAAGAGCACATAGTCAACTCTAACAGAAACATCCAATGCACAGAAACCAGGAGAGGGTAAATACATTGTTTCTATTTTCTAGGCTTGTGATAACTTGTTTCTCATCAAAAGAAACATATATATTCACTTAACCGAAAAGAACAGGAAAGATGGTAAGCTATCCAGTGTTAGGGAACACAAAGTGTTACCCCTTCCTTACTTTATCAGGGGCTATTGATAAGTTGAGAGCTTGGCTTCCAAGATCTGTTTTTACTCCTTTGTCTTCCACTGACACTTGCACAGATTAGTAAATCATTTGCCAGTATGCACTGTCAGAATGATACTCTCATCTCCAAGGCTCACCACACAGGATTCTGCCAGATTGCATGTAACCTTATGTCCACTGGACAGCATGAGGCTCACTCATTGGCCCTTGGGCTGTGCCTCTCATTAGTGGTCTCAGCTAATTGTTATATGGCCAAGGAGAGCTTTTGTATCTTACAATTCTTTGGTTTATAAAAGAATGCATTCAAACTTTTAGTAAAGTGTCTACCAAAACTATCAGCCCTCAAATCATTGGCTTCCCATGTGTAAAACAATTTTAAATACAGGTATTGTATATGTTTGAAGCTTGCCACTGCTTTACACTGAATTATATAACCATTTCCTTAAGAAAGGACCGGTGCACAGTATATTATCACAAATTATTAGAAATCCAGACAGGGGTTAGGCAGGTGCTTTGTGCAGAGTCCTACAGAGTTGAAAGTAAGCTGTCTCCCATTTTAGCTCAGGATTCCTTCCCAAGATTATGCAGGTTATGACAGATCTCAGTTCTCTGCTATTATAGAACAGCATTTAAAAAATACATATAAGTAAATGAAACAGAAAACTATGCAGGTCACTCACCATAGTAAATGTTAGAAGTAGTGGCTTGAAATTCTTCAAAATTTGTCACAGTCTGGGAGAGATCCCAGGCTTATTTTTGCTTATCTGATAAAGCTTGTCTGTCTATTTCTATTTACTTCTGCTCCCTCTCTCACCCTAGGAAGTGCTAAGGGGACAGGAGATTTTAATGCGTTCCATTTTGTTTTGTCCAGTTTTGTTCGTGGGTCGGGTGTGGCTTAGGCTGGCAGGTCCTAGAACACAGGTGTCTCTATTCCAGGATTTACACCGTCTGAAAATGCATGGTTTCAGATGAAAACACTTATGCCCAAATTACATACTTGAACTTCGAGATAAAGGTGATTACAATCAATTCCTGGCAAAGCCTAATGGTGTACTACATTGACAAAAGAACCCATTCAGTGCTTCAGACCTTGTTAGTGCTAATGAATGCCTCACAGAACAGCAGCCTCTTGGATGGTATGCACACTTAAGACTGATTTCTCCAAAAGGGCTTTGCACTTCTTAGGGGATTTTCCGAAATGAGCTGCATTCTATTCTTTGATATGGGTAATTGGTCATTAGCTGATGATCTCGTTTGCTGTTATTTCATAGACAATGAAAGTTTTTAACGCTGCAAAAGTCCAAACTGGCAAGGACATACATGAGCAGCAAAGCCAGAGGCTCACGCAAAGAAATCTGGTTGGAAATCTCTTCTTACACTATATATATCTGAGCTGTAAAAAAAAAAAAAAAAAAAAAAAATCCTCAGCTAAAATTCAGTTCCTTTAGCTCCTTGTATGGTGTGTGTACTTCATTATTGTGGTTACAACCTTGGGAACCACAGCAATGCTAACCAACAAAATCAGGTCATTCAAAGGCTAAACTAAGAGCTAACACGAATATGCCAAAAGCATAGTGTTTTATGAATACTTTAAAGTCTCCTTAGGCTCAGTAATATATCACACACATTTTATTATTCTCTACTACTTCTAAACATTAGAAAATATCAGAGCAAAACTAGGCAAATAAGGAACAAATTGATGCATGTACATGTATGAACTAATGAAACACTACAGTTACCATTTAGGTAGGAACAACAAGTTTTCATTCTATTTCTGGTTAAAAATGATCTTTGAATGTTTTATGTAGAAATTTTAGTGTATTTCCATATATCTTTCCAAAGTCTTTATTGGAAAGAATTTAAGAAGTAAAGAGTTTTTGAAAGACCAGCCCGAAGTCTGTGTGTAGTCCTGTTGTAGAGCATTTGTCAGAATGCCCAGGTCCGTGGACTCAGTCACCTGCTCTGTAAATAAAATTTAAAAAAAGAGAATAGTACAAAGGGGAGTAAAGCTACCTGCAGGTTGTCATGCCACACACCCACCTTTAACTGGGAAGTTAGAGAAGATAAGTGAAAGATGGTCGCCAAGGTTAGGAACTCATTCTCTAAACCATTGTGGAGCCTACATTAATGATGGTCAGGAAGACAAGCAAGCAGAAATTAAGTTCTCTTAAATATCCCTGATATTCACTGACATGGATGGGAAGAGTCACAGAGGCACAAGTCATCTCTTACAGCTACAAGAATTGTTTTAAGAACATAACAACTTAATTTTTAAGTTAATTGTCAGGTAGTATAAAAACAAATGGGTTTTATTGTAACATTTTTATACATATGCCACTATGTTCTGATTATTCATCCTTCACTTCTTCACTCTCTCCCAGTTTTCTTTCTCCTCCAAGACTCTCTTTTGTGGTTGATATATTGACCCCCAATAAACTTGTCTGGGGGTCAGAGAACAGAACAGCCACTAGATAAACATAGAGGCCAGAAAGTGGTGGCACACACACCTTTAATCCTAGTATTCGAGAGGCAGAGATCCATCCAGATCTCTGTGAGTTCAAAGCCACACTGGAAATAGCCCAGCAAGGTGGCACACACCTTTAATCCCAGCACTTGAGATCTCACGTCTTTCTTGGGAAAGACATATGCCTTTAATCCCAGGAAGTGATGGCAGGAGCATAAAGGTATATAAGGTACAAGGACCAGGAACTAGAGACTTTTTTTAAGCTTTTAGCTTTTAGCAGCAGTTTAGCTGAGATACATTCAGATGAAGATTCAAAGGCTTTCAGTCCGAGGAGACAAGATCAGCTGAGGAATTGACAAGGTGAGTTAGTGTTCACCCTAATACCTGGCTCCGGGTTTGTTTTTATTAATAAGAACTTCTAACAATTCATGCTACATTCCTTTCCCTTTCTTACAGGACATAAGAACTACTGTCAAGGAGCTCTCCCATGACTCCATTCTGAATCAGAGAAATCAACAAGATTAAATTCCTTAAATTGTTTTAAGATGTTAACTCTCATTACTAGGATTGCCTTTCTTATTGCTCCGGGAGTTATTAGTACAGAATGCTCTATAGGACATGGAATTTTTCTTATTGGGCCTTTCATTAGTAATTTTGGAGGAAAAAATATTTAAGAAATCAGGATGTGTGAGATGGTTCAGCAGGTAGAGGTACTTGCCTTTATGTCTGATGACCCGGGTTTGATCCCCAAAACCCCAGAAGGAAAGAAACAACTCCAAGTTGTTCTCTGACCTCCATACATACATCATGCTACCCATGAATACATGGAATAAAAAAAAATACATGTTAAACATTTTTAAATGTTAAACATTTAAAAATACTAAAACCAAACCAAAATTGACCTATCAATTTTTGTGTAGCTATTCACTTGTCCTCACAGTTACTAATTAGGATACTTAGTTATGCTCAGTGGCACACGCCTTTAATCCCAGCACTCGGGAGGCAGAGGCAGGCGGATCTCTGTGAGTTCGAGGCCAGCCTGGTCTCCAAAGCAAGTTCCAGGAAAGGC